GCTTTTCTTTTCAATATAATCTGAGCTATTGGGAAGAAACTACACTAGTGCAGTTTCACTTTTCCATTCTGGAAGTGCAGTTGATTCTAAGATGCCCTTAGCCCACCACTTCTCTGTGATTGGTCAGCCTCACACTGAGCAGTGGGTTAGGTCTTGTCAAATGGCCTTATAGTTATTGCACTATAAGTGTTGAGGGAGTGTGAGTATCAGATGAAGAGACAGGAACATTGGACTGTAGCAGAGGACGTTCGTTACCTGTGCTTTGGACTACAGTGACCATATCCATCAGACACAGGATTTTCTGGTAATTCATCACGACAATTCAGAACTGATTTCTGACCTAAAATATCTTCTTTCTCTTAGTAAGCAATGGGTAAAATAATATTTAGGAGTATGGACTGGAGAGCGGGGATAATGAGTTTGGAAGCTATGGAACCTTGATCAGTGGGCAGTAGGATAGGTTCCTTGATGGATGTGGCTAATTGTTCAGGTTAAGGAAGATCTAAAGCTAATTTTTTCTATGTTGTTTATATGGTAAATTGTTTTGCCTTCTTCTAGAGCTTACCCATGTTCTACGTCAAGTTATTCCTACTTATAATGATCCCAGGTGACAGAATAGAACTGATCTATAGGGTTTTCTTGGCCATAGTAAAAATGATTCTGAGTTATTTCTGTTAACTGTAAGTTGATCCTGATCCTGAGTTGTGTAGCCTGTTGCTTCTCTAATAAACCCATAGTTATGAACATGGTCTATGAGTTTTGTGAAACCATTGCAAGGAATGATCTAACCCAACAAAGAAGTGGAGAAACAGATTACCAGATCTTTCTTCCTCTAAGCCATCCAGTAGATTAGAACTGCCAGTCTTTCACTTAGTCACTTAGCACCAACCATTGAGCCTTCAGGGTTTCCTGGAGTGTCCATATAGAAGAATTTAAAATTATTATATACACATCACCAAATGTGTTACAGTTTATAAAAATAGGAGCATGAGCTTGATGTGTCTCAATCCTATGTTATTTTTTTTTTAAGGTTTTTATTGTGGATTGAGTGAAAGTTTTCAGGGCACATCATCGGTTTCACATTCAAACATTCATATACCTTGTTTCATTACATTGATTATAATCCCCTCCACATACCATCAGTTAACAGAGTTTCTCTATATCCTCTTTAGCTTTTTTGGGGGTGGAAAACTTTGCCTTTTTGGAATTTACAGTCTCGGCTTTTAGGGAAGGTTTTTACATTTATCTGTGGGTATCCAGGGCTCATGTATGGAATTACTAACCAGCATAACTGAATAATCAGAAAAGGGACATTTTGCTATGTCTGCTAGGTGGCTAAAGTCTGATCCTCAGAGCCTATGGTTTGGACGGTCAGCAACGCTTTGGCCCACGGGGACTTGAACGCCTGACCAGGTCTGCACTGTCTGCATCAGATTCCCCCTTATTTATTATTTGTTTAAGGGACGCTGCCTGTCTTAGGCGGTCAGTGTGAATTCCTCAGTCTTACCCGTCATCGAAACTCATTGCAGCATGGCAATGGCTCTGTCTTAGGTTGCCGAATTCCTATGTTATTTTAAAGTCATCTTTTTATACTCCTCCCCATCTAGCACTTTTCATTCCTTACATTCTGTGACCATTAGACTGGGAGAAAAGAATCCTGCTTTGTGTCTCATTGCTGCTATTAACTACCTGTGGAGTGTCTATAATGGGGGCTTATTTTTTGTTTTTCATTGTAACATAATGAAAAATCTTAGTGAAGAACTCTAAGACCTTTCAGAACCATTGATAAAGATTAATGCCACTACAGATGCTCCCTTTATAATACTAATATCTCATACTCCTTCTTCCTTTGTGTGCTCATGCTCAGTGGAGAAAAGACTTGGGCCAAATTTTAGAGTGAGCACCTTTAAAACATGAGATCAGGCCTGAGTGGTTGAGGCAAGCAGTAGAAAATGTGGAATTTGCTTAGGAACAGCATTTGTTCCTGCAGCATCGTTCTGGCATGCCTAATGGGTGCCTTTCCCCTTCCTCAGTAAATATGGCAACGGTTTTTATTTCTGGTATCACCTGCAGGTTTCACTTCTCCTTAATTATGTTCTTCAGCTGTATCTTCCAGGTCAAAAGCCAGATATGGTAGCACTTTGGACCCACGAATGCTACTTTCCTTCTCAGTTTCTCTCAGACTCAGAGTTTTTGCTTCTCAGGCATCCAAGGGTACTCCATCAGACCTCCCTAGATCATTCTGGATCCATTCTGCCTGGAGTTGTAGGGCTCACTGCAGAGTCTAACATTGGATACACATGAATAACTTGGGCATGGGTTGCCATACTACCTACTGTATGCCCCTTCTGGTCCCTGTCTCCATCATTCTCCCTCCCTTGCAATCTGCTCTGGGCAAACAGAAGTTGTAAAATTGGCATGTTGGCTATATAATCTTATCTCATTTAACCTTAAAAATGGAAGGAGAATCATTATCAGCCTCAATCACCCAATACTTATACCAATTAGACAGAAGTTAGACATGCTTCCGTGTTTCAACCTTTTTACCAGTTCTGACACCTACAGCCCCTCCCATAGTACTCTCTATTATCTTGTTGGGCTAGATAATTCCTTGCAGTGGCCACACAGAACTCATAGCCCATATTCATGATGATGGGTTTATTAGAGAAATAACAGGATACAACTCAGGATCTGGATCAACTTACAAGTAACAGGAACAATTCAAGAATACAGTTTTTAATCAGGACTGCTTCTTCTTTAGTAACTCATGGTGTCTACTCCCCCGCCTCCACTCACACTGGCTTCATACCTTATCATACCATATCAAATCCTTACTAGTGTTCACTATCAATTTTAATCATAGAATTGTTAAGTGCAATCAAATTAGTTCGGATTCACAGCGACCCTGTATAGGATTTCCGAAAAGCAGTTGTTGGGTTTGAACTGCTAACTTGTGGTTCACAGTGCAGTCCTGGTCCTACAGTGCCATGCTGGGAGTCCTCAATATATTTGTTTACATTATTTATTGTAATAAATTTATATTTATGTGTATTTATCATAATATTTATTTTGTGTGTTTATTGTGATAAATACACAATGAGGCTTCAAAAAGTGCACAAAAAATTTCATTATCAGGCAAGAACATAGCCACAGAGTAGGGGGATGCACAAGAATGCCCAAACTTGTATATAGTACTCCTTCGACCTAGCCTCGATGGCTTGATGGTCAGAACTCAACTAAAGGAAGATTAAAAAAACAATTTTGATAAAGGAAACAAGTGTAAATTGCTACAATTTGATGAACTTGATCTATATTTATGGATGTAGTAGCTCAAAATGCCAACTGAGAGGGAACGACTCTTTGCATCAAGTAGCAATCCTATCTCCTTTGTATACAGGGTTGATAGAGATAGGCAACTTAGACATTGGCTACCTAAAATGGAGGGGGGTGGGCATGCTATAAAGGCATGAAGTGACTGGCTTACAAGGTTTCAAGAGGGAGCTTAGTTCAAGAGTACGGGGCAGGGGAAGAAAGGGTCCCCACCGAATAGTTTTCATCTTGTCTAGATGGGTCTGGTGAAAAGAGATGGGGATAAGACTCTTATGATTCAATAGTGAATAATTGTTATCATGACTAATTGCGACTGTCACAATAGTAAAGGTAGAAGTTTTGTAAGTGGAGTAGTTAATCTTACAGTCCAGAAAGAGAGGACCCTAGGACCATCAAGGGAGAATAGCACAAGCAGAATGCAGGACCTTATCCAGAGAAGTACTCTGTGGCTATGTCCTTGCCTGATAATGAAATTTTTCATGCACTTTTTGAAGTCTCATTGTGATATCCCTCATTATATGGTCTCTTCTGAATTTGGCTTGCACTTCTGGAAGTTCTCTGTCAATGTATGATTGTAGCTGTTTCTGTATTACCTTTAGTAAAATTTTACTCACATGGGACATCAAAGAGATTGTCCAATGATTTCCACATTCCATTGGGTCACCTCTCTTTGGAATGGGCACAAATATGGATCTCTTCCAATCAGTCAGCCAGATAGTTGTCTTCCAAATTTCTTGACAGAGATGAGTGAGTGCCTCCTATGCCACCTCACTGTCTTGAAAGATTTCAATTTTTTTCCATCAATTCCTGGTGCCTTGTTCTTTGCCAATTCCTTCAACGCAGGCTTTTCTCCCATGGGCTTTACCCCATTTGCGTCATCATGGTCAACTCTACTTTGAGAAGGCAGTTCTTCCCCAGTCGCATTTTGAGTGCCTTCCAACCTGAGGGGCTCATTTCCTGGCACTATATCTGACCGTGTTTCTCTGCTATACATAAGGTTTTCAGTGACTAAATATTCGGAAGTAGTTTGTCACTCCTTCTTCCTAGTCTGTCTTTGTCTGGAAGCTCATCTGAAACCTGTCCACCATAGGTGACCTTGCTGGTATTTAAAATACTGGTGGAATAGCTTCCAGAATCACAGCAACTCACAAGCCACCACATTACAACAAACTGACAGACAAGTGGTTGGAAAAGATCAATAAAATGTGAAAATTTTTGACAAGACTAAAAGAAGACAAGAAACATATTATTGTTAATTAAGATTTATGGTTTTTTTGTTTTTTGTTTTTTTTTTAGAGCTATAGACTAAAGTGTTTATGGATAGAATGATAGAATATCTTGGATTTGCTTTAGAGGAAACCAGTGGGGCTTAGGTGAATAACAACTGGCTGTGAATTAAGGATTATTGAAGTTAGCAGATACACACATGGGGTTTGTTATGTCATTCTTCCTAATTTTTATATAACAGCAAACATTTCCACAAGATATTTTTCTAAAAAAGTTAAATAAGATAAAACAGAAACATACAAAAACTAGCCTGTGTTAGGATATAACTAAAGGAAACAGCACTGAGAGTGTGCTAATTTGGTAAGGGCAAACCCCAGAGACCTGGTTTCGATATATTTCTTTTAACTTTCCTCTTCCTTCCTTTTTTAGATCCTTTATTCACCATGGGTCAGGCTTTCTCGTTTAATTTCAAAGACTATCAAAACCTGGCCTCCAGCATAAATGAATATTTTAAGAATTTCAAGATGGAAAATAAAATTATCTCTGAAGAAACCATCAAAACAATCACATCAAACCTGGCAGAAGGGAACCTTGATGATATGTATAAAATAATTGATGATGTATTAAAAAAAATTGATAATGCCACTCTGAATATAGCTGTGACTGGTGAGAATGGTTCAGGGAAGTCTAGTTTCATCCATGCCCTGAGAGATGTTGATTATAATGCAAAGAATACAGCTGCTGACAGTGTGGTAGAGACAACCACAAAGCCAACTGCATACAAACACCCAAAGTTTCCCAATGTGGTATTTTGGGAATTGCCAAGCATTGGAAGCCCTAATTTCCAGCCCAAAGAGTATCTAAAGCAAGTTAAATTTGATAAATATAAATTCTTTATTATTATTTCTGCTACACAATTCAATGACAATGATATACAACTTGCCAAGACAATCAAAGATATGAAGAAAAATTTCTACTTCATTAGATCCAAGGTGGACATTGATTTACAAAATGAACAGAAGTATAAACCAAAGAACTTTGATAGAGAAAAAGTCCTACAGACGATCCGAAACAACTGCCTACACTGCTTTAGACAGAATCAGATGGATGAACCCCAAATCTTCATGATCAACAGTAATGATGTATCTAAGTATGATTTCTCAATCCTGACAGACACCGTACTAAAGGATCTATCTGCTCAAAAGCGACACATCTTTACGCTTTCCTTGCCCAATGTTACTGATAAAATCATTGAACAAAAGAAGAATTCTCTGAAGCAGAAAGTCTGGATACAAGCTGTGAGGGCTGGATTCTTTGCTACCTTCCCATTGGGCGGCATTATCAGTGATTATGATATAAACACTGTGAAGAACAGTTTAAATGACTATCGAGTCTTCTTTGGGGTGGATGATGAATCTCTGAAAGTTGTGGCTACAAACTTGAAAGTGCCTTGTGAACAACTCAAGGCAGTCCTTGAATCTCCAAATATGTTGGAAAAAGAGGAAGATAAATCAGTAAAGGCAACACTTTGTCAATGGTTGGAGAAGTACTGTTTAGTTGTTGGAGGTCTCCTTGCTGCAGGTTTTTACTTTGGAAAAGCCTTCTCTTGGCACATTTATATCCTGGACACAGTGAGCAAAGATGCTAAAATTCTCCTTGAAAAGAGATTTTCAGAAAAGAAGTAAAAGTCTCCTTAGGATAAAATAATCTGAAACATGAATTTCCAATCCATGAAAGGAGAATAACACAATAGAGATCCCTAGACAACATATTGAGTGTGCTGATGTAGCAAAGTTTTCAGCTCATCCTTACTGATTACATGTCCCAGTTGCCATTCATTCACTTTCAATAAACTACCACGTCTGATTCTTTTTCTTTGATAAAATGACAAAGAATTCCTACGAATCCTATTGCACTAAGATCATCCCTGGGATCTCATAGAAAGGGAATCTACAATTGTATGCTGGTGGAGTGAGAAATTCTATATTTCTTTACTACATGCCTCGTACTGGTGTGTTGTTTTTTTTTTCCATGAAAGTTGCATCAATCTATGCCTGATAATTATATATGCTTAATAAATATTCAGAGAAAGAGTGTATTTGTATTTGGTGTTTGTCATTCACAATATGTATTTTGAGAGATGCATATTGATCAATGCTAGTTCTCTTTTGAGTGCCAATTTCCTTGCACATTTCCAAATCTACCACTTTATTTCCTCCAACATATAAAATATAGTAAACAGTACAATGAGATAGAAAAACTAAACAATCAGAGTAACAGGAAAACGATTGTTGGTGAGTGAAAAATTACACATGTTTTTCATGTGCTTCAGTTGCTTTCCTATTAGATTCCTTGAAATTCCTCATTTTCCAAAACTCAGATATTTTGCACATATATTGAAAATTTAGAAATAATTAATAGATAACATTGTGGAGAATGGGTATTCCAGGCACTTCATTGTGCTCATGAGGAACCAGAACATAGACTAAGAGGCAGTTGTCATAAAACCACAACAACAAATGTATCAAAAGAGATCCTCAAGTATTGCATAAGATCATTATTGTAAAAGCTTAAGAAAAGATATCCATACTAAAAAGAAAAAAAAAAAAAGAAATTATTTGTTGGTTACCAGTGGGGATGGGGAGGTATAGGGAGGGGACAGTAGAGCACATGGTAGGAGGTAGACACATCATAGCTCTGGTGTTAAGGAGGGCAGTACACAAGAAGGGGGAGGGGATGGAAGAACAAGGAAGAACAAGGAACACTGAGGCAAGTTTGCATGGGCTAAATGGGACAGAGGTAAATGGTGATGTATGCTCAACCTTGGAACAACAGGGCTTTGTGATACAGGGATCAAGGTATAGTCTGAAGAGGGAAAATAATACAAAGGTGCTTGATTGTCCTATGAATATTGGTTTCCCTTGCCTACTATTGTAAAATAGACACTTGAGTGGGATAGAAAGGAATATCAAAATTCATGAATCCAGAAAGCTTGTAAGCTCGTCTTCAGCCTATAACTGATTAGAATACCTAAAAGGAGTTCTAGAACTTGCCCAGTAAAATATGCTTCTTGTGGAGCCTTTGCAGTGTAGAGGACCGTATGTGGAATCCTGAGTCCCATCTAGGACCTCTGAGGTGGGACATTCTCAGTAGAAAAGACAAACCAACGAGCTTGGAATAGCTAGAGCAACAGAAGATAGTTCTTGAAAGAAAGATCAGCTGGAAAAATTATAAAAATAAAAATGGCAGCCTGACTGGCTACTACAAGAACAAGCAAGTTGTTCACCAGGAAGCCATCAAGGCAAGCAATCAAGTCCCATTAGGATAAACCTCCCTCCAAGACTGAAACTCAAAGGGAACACATGAGCAGTAATGTAAGTTTGCTGATGACCACATTGGTATACTGGTGAGTGGAAGATGGGGAAAGGCAGCAATGAAGAAATAGGCTGAGTTCAACCACATTCCACAGATTCCCATTGACCTGGAGATGAGAGAGAGAGAAGAGGAAGGGCTGGTTGGTCCTAAGTGTGGTGAGACCTGGGGACTCCTGAGCCCATGGACAAGGACATAGCCACAGAGGGCTAGAGCTGAGAGTAAAGCATCCAGCTTATATGAAGTGAGGGGAGATGAACACGAACACCCAAACTTGTAGATAGTACCTATTTGACCTAGACTCAATGGCTTGATGATCAGAACTCAACTAGAGGAAGATTTTTTTAAAATTTTTTTTTTTTGATAAAGGAAACAAGTGTAAATTACTACGATTTGATGAACTTATATACTTGGATGTAGTAACTCAAAATACCAACTGACAGGAGGGAAGACGTCTTAACATCAAGTATCAATCTTATCCCCTCTGTATGCAGGGTTGATAGGGACAGGGAACTTAGACATTGGCTACCTAAAATGTGGGGGCTATAAAGGCACAAAGTGACCGGCTTATAAGTTTTTAAGAGGGGTTTAGTTTCAGAGTGTGTGGGAAGGTAGAATCCCCACTGAATAGTTTTCATCTTGTCTAGATGGGTCTGGTGAAAAGAGATGGGGATAATATTCTTATGAGTCAATAGTGGGTAATTGTTATCATGACTAATTGCAATTGTCACAACTGTAAAGGTAGAAGTTTTGTAACAAAAATGGGGGAGTAGTTAATCCAGAAACAGAGGACCTTAGGACCATCACGGGAGAAGGGCATGAGTGGAATGTGGGACCCTATCTGGAGAAGCAGTCCCACATTCCACTCACCAGAGATGGAAGCAGAGATGAGGACATGGAGAGAGGGAGCAGCTGAGGATGCTAGACTCATGGAAAGAGAGGGACTGAGTGCTGGCAGCCAGGAGGCAGGTTTGCAGTATGTACTCTTTGGTTGTTTAAATTATTATATATGCCTGAGTATTTTTGCATACAACCCCCCCCAAAAAAAAAGACAAAAACAAACAAACAAAAACAGAGGGAATAGAAGCAAATAACTTTCAGTGCTGATGCATGGAGGAGATTGTAATCATTGCAATGAAATGGTGTAAAATCAATATTCTCCTATGTAAACTACCACCAAATTCACAATAAGAACTTAAAAATAAAATAAAAAGAGGCAGTTTTCAGAACAATACAAAGAACAGTGAATGGTTTAAAATCAGAAAAGGTGTGCACCAGGGTTGTATCCTTTCACCATACTTATTCAGTCTGTATGCTGAGAAAATAATCTGAGAAGTTGTATTATATAAAGAAGACGGTGGCATCAGGATTGAAGGAAGAGTCATTAACAACATGTGATAAGCAGATGATACAACCTTGCTTGCTGAAAGCAAAGAAGACTTAAAATACTTACTGATGAAGATCAATGACAACAGCTTTCAGTATGGGGTGCACCTCAATGTAAAGAAAACTACAATCCTCACCACTGGACCAATAAATAACATAATGATAAATGAAGACATGGCTAAAGCTGTCAAAGACTTTATTTTGCTTAGATCCACAGTCAATACTCATGAAAGCAGCTTAAGCAATCAAACAAAGTATTGCTTTAGACACATCTGCTGCACAAGACATCTTTAAAGTGTCCAAGAGTAAAAATACCCCTTGAGGACTAAGGTGCACCTGACTCAAGTCATGGTATTTTCAATAGCCTCAAGTTTCAATAGCCTGATATCTTTGCTCTTGAACATTTTAAAGAGGTCTTGTGCAGCAAATTTGCCTAATGTAATCCTCATATGTATGTGAAAGTTGGACAATGGATAAGGAAGACCAAAGTAGAAGCAGTTCATTTGATTATGGTGTAGGAGGTATAAAATATTAAAAGTACCAGGGACTACCAGAAGAACAAATAAATCTGTATTGGAAGAAGTACAGCCAGAATGCTCCTTAGAAGCAAAGATGGCCAGACTTTGTCTCTCAAACTTTGGACATGTTATCAGGAGGGACCAGTCTCTGGAGAAAGACATCATGCTTGGTTAAGTGGAGAGCTGACGAAAAAGAGGAAAACCCCAACAAGATAGATTCAGTGACAGCAGCAGTGGGCTCAAACATTACAACAATTGTGAGGATGGTGAAGGAGCAATCAGTGTTTCTTTCTGTTGTGCGTAGGGTCTCTATGCATCTGAGCTGACTGGACAGCATTTAACAACAGCAAAAACATGCAAATAATATGTATGAAACCTGTGGTGGTTGTGGTTATGTTTAAACTTGGCTGGGCCGTGATTTTCAGTGATTCAGCAGTTATGACTTGTGCTATCTGATAAATGTCCTCCATTTTATGATCTGATGCAATTATCCTCCATTTTGTGTGCTTTCTTCATTAGCAAGTACCTCAAATCCTCTTTGCTTACAGTAAGCCAGCTTGTGCCATCTGCATCTCACATTTGTTAATCAGTCTTCCTGCCATTCTCATGCCTTTTTCTTCTTCATATAATCTAGCTTCTTGGATTACTTGCTCAGCATTCAGACTGAATAAACATGGTGAAAGGATACAACCCTGGACACACTTTTCCAGGCAGTATCCCTTTATTTTGTTCAAATAACTGACTGTATGTTCTACATACAGGTTCTGCATGAACACAATTAAGTCTTCTGGATTTCCCATTCTTCACAATGTTTTCCATAGTTTTTATGATCCACACAGTCAAATGGTTTTGTATAGTCAATAAAACACATGTGAACATGTTTCTGGTATTCACTGCTTTCAATAAAGATCCATCTGTTATCAGCAATAATATCCTTATTTCCTTGTCCATTTCTGAATTCAGCTTGAATTTCTGGCAGCTCCCAGAAGTACTGCAAACATTTTTAAATCATCTTTAGCAAATTTTACTTGCATGTGATATTAATGATATTGTCCAAAACTTTTTGCATTCCATTGGGTCACCTTTCTGTTGAATGGGCACAAATATGCATTTCTTCCAGTTGGTTGACCAGGTAGCTGTCTACCAAAATTCTTGGTGGAGACTAGTAAGTGTTTCCAGTGCTATATTTGTGTTTTGAAATTTTATGTTGGTGTTTCCTGGAGCCTTCAATTCCTAAAACCTTATGTTTTGCCAATGCTTGGACTTCTTCAATACCATTGGTTTTTGATCTTATGCTACCTTCTGAAGTGGTTGAATACCTACCAATTCTTTTTAGTATAATGGTTCTGTGAATTCTTTCCGTCGTCTTTTGATTCTTTGGCCATAGAATCCTTCAATATTGCTTGAAC